CAGGAGGCTTCAACCTCGGTGAGAACAGAAAGCTCAGGCAACAGTTGTGGGCAATTGGATTGTGAGAAGAGGGTCCCTCTTGGCCAAAAGGGCAAGAGGGGCCAATATAGAATGCTCAGGTGCCTTCCCAGGGAGCCCTCTACACAGTGGAAGGAATTAAATCCTTTCATGTCCTTTTAAAATTGCTGCCAGACCTTCAAAGAATTAGTTTTGGTACCTAGCACTTAATCAGTATTAAAAGGTGATTGGTGGTGGGTAGTTACTTTTACATTTGACTTTTTTTAAAAAACATATTTTATTTTAAAGAGAGGAAGGGAGAGGGATAGGAAGTTAGAAACATTGATGAGAGAGAAACATCGATCAGCTGCCTCTTGCACACCCCACACTGGGGATGTCCCCGCAACCAAGGTACATGCCCTTGACTGGAATCGAACCCAGAACCCTTCAGTCCGCAGGCTGGCACTCTATTCACTGAGCCAAACCATTTTCAGCTATATTTGACTTTTGTTAAAACAAAAACAAGACTGAGAACCCATTGATGTAAAAGTTTTATTTAATTTATAATTAGTTTCAGTTGGTTAATTTCCAATGCTAATGAGATCTGTGTCACTGACTTCCTCAAGCTACATTCTCATGTTTAGCCGATTATCTCAGAGGGGAAGGAGGAGGGTGACAGTGTCAGTAATGAAAGTTAATCTTTATAGAATGCTCATTGGGCCATAACATTTGTATTCTGTGCTCTGTGTTAAATGCTCTGTGTCCATCATCTCATTTAGTTTCACAACTACCCTAAGAAGTAGGAAATATTAGTATTCCTGTTTTACAGGAGGCAGGACTGAGATTTAATGATATTAAGTGATTAGAATGTGTAGCCAATAATGGTAGAGCTGGACTTTGAACCTAAGCTGCAGATTACTATAAATCACTCACAACTGACAGAGAAACAGTTCAAAAAGGGAAGGCCTCATGGTGGTCGGTCCCTTGTCACACAGAGAGAAGGGACATAGCTGATGCTGCAGAACTGATTAGTGCAGTATTTCAAGTTCTTGGCATGTAGTTCTGTTTTGTGTGTTTCCACATTGTCATATCACAGAAACAACCAGGGGGGAGAGGTTGAGATATTCCAGGACACTCAGGGAATTAGAGAGCTTAGAGGTGAGTTCAAGTGCACTTTAGATAGGAGCAGCAGTTTTAAATAAATCTGCCTATGAATTTATTTTGTGCAGGTTTTGACCCAAATACTTAGGCAGCTATGTATTAGAGGGGGAAAGTGAGATAATTTTGTCTAATTATTGCTTTATTTATGTCTTTAATTTATAAGTTAAAAGAAATTCTTCTTTGTGCTTTATCAATAAGGCCTGGGTAATTGTCATAAAGGTCACCCATTAAAAAAATTCTGGGAATCCAAGTGTTTCTGTAGTCTTTCTAATTCTCTAGGGACATATAAATTGAATTGACTCAGCAGTGAACAGAATGTGAATTGCAAATCACATTTTAGTGCAGAGGAAGCATATGAAGGCTTTCCTCACCCTCCCTTGATTTATTAAATTGCACTCCCATTGTAGCTTCTGGGTGAGGACTAATAGAATTGCTGTGCCCTGTGATTTGTATCAAAGACCCACTTTCCTGCTTGGTGTTTATCTTCAGGATCAAGCTCTGTGGTTCAGAGAGAACATGAAGTGTTCCTTCCATGTTAGGTGCCAGCTTGTTGCATAGGTTGGTAGTGATCGCTTCAGGCTGGAATCAGAAGGCCTCTCCCAGTTTCATTTTCTCTCTTACTCTTGGCAGATCCTTTCCTCCAGTGACTCATTTTCCCTAGCTGCCCAGAACATCTCATTACCTTTGTCATCGTCATTATCATCATCATCCACAATGTCTTACTTATCATGTGGTTAGCGGTTAAGAACCTGGGCTCTGGAGACAGACTATAGGAGTTCCTGTCTGGGTTCTGGCTTCTTCCAGCTGTCTAACTTTGGGCAAGTAACCTAACCTCTCAAATTCCTCAGTTTGCTCATCTATATGCTGGGAATTATTAGGTTGGTATAAGGACTGTACATGATAGTGTATATAGAGCACTTGCATGGTGTCTGATACATAACTAGGCTTTTGTTATAATCATTTTTATTAATTTACTATTACTGTTGCAGTTATAACATAATGACACTCATATGGACCCTAATAAGGCGAACATGTTTCTGTTCTCTAGAAGCACCCACTTGAAAACAAACATGCATTGACCTAGATATTTAATAAATCTTGATGTTCAGCAGGAGCTAGATCATACCTACATCAAAGTATATAAAGACAGAAAGCTAAGAAACTTTAGTGTGGCCAGATCTCAGAGTACTCTGGCTAATCAGGACAGGTAGACTATAGCTTCTGTTGGGTTGTTGAGATCAGGCTTGTTTAGTGATTCATGTCCCCTTGAATTGATCCTGTAGAGTTGTGTGTGTCCTTTTAAGACAATGGGTCTGGAGGTGCTTCCTTGAAAGTATATAATCTGAGATAGCTCTGCTAATCATGAGCCAGGCCTACTGCTAGAGACCTTTCATTTTATTAATAGGAAAGTGTCCTTGCCTTTGAACTTCAGTCTGGGCAACTGTGATTCCTATAGAAGATTTTTCCAGAACAGACTGACTTTTTCTAAAGGTAAATTGTGAACCCTTTGCCTCTGCCAGTATGGAAGGTATTTATGGGGAGGCTTGGTAGTTGTGAGCATTTGCAACTGCCTGGGAATTAAAATAAGACTGGAGTAACCCTATAGAGGCGAGATAGAATAGTGTGCCACCTCCCAGTTCTGTGTCCTTGGACAAACTGTAACTTCTCTGGGCCTCAAGGTCCATCCACATCTATAGACTGGGAATAGCACTAGTACCTAACTCATAAGGTGGTTTCAAGGATTAGATGATGTCATATGTTGTACTTGGTAAATGTTGAGTAATAAAGATATCCCCTGTTAACATGGTTAGTTTTTTTTAGTGCATAGGAAGCATATGAAAGCTTTCCTTGCCCTCCTCACTTTCCTCGAGATAAGAGGATACAACCCTCTTACCTTGCCATTATCTGGCCTTTGTGAGGGCAAGGCTCCTCCCAGACCCCGGGCCTTCCTGGTTGGGCCATGTAGTCACACACTCCTGGCAGCAAGGTTTATTAGCTTCATTTCAGAACTCATTCTCTTTGGCTCATTTACTAAACTAGACAGAGACTAATGGCCTGGCCTCAGAGGATCAGGCAGCACATGTTTCTGGTGCCTTTGGTTCATTGATCACACCTCTCCACTTTGGGTAGTGCTTGGTTGTTCCAGACAGTGGTCTCCTGAGACCAGGAAACCTGTTTGGTGCAAACTCACCTCCTAATTAAGGAAGGCTGAAAGCCTTGCATTTTGCTATTTATAAACAGGAGCAAGTGTCTCTGGGATAAAATGTTTGGATTTAATGGGAGGGAGGGCTGGAAAAACACACACCAAAACTTGCTAAAATATGGTCTCTTTCCTTGCAGTTCCCTTACCCAACTTCCCAAGGTTAGTGAATGCCATCCACCATTGATCACTGGTCTTAGCTATTATGAGGTCTCTCATTTCCCTGACAGGTCACAAGGCCTATGAGATTGCATCACTGCCCCTCTGCCCATTCTTAGTTCCTACCTTACACTGATTGCCAACCATACTGGCCTTCCTCGGTCCAAAAGACCATGCCTTTCCCATCTCAAGACCTGCACTTGCTGTTGGCATTGGCCCCCAGGTCTTTCCAAGGAGGTCCTCTCATAATTCAGGTCTCATGCAAATGTCATCTTTTCCCCACCTCAGGTTCACAGTAGACTTTTATTTTCTCCATTCTACTTATCAATATTTGAATATCATATTTGTATTTCTGTCTATTTCTGTTCAGTTCCCTAGAAGGCTAGTTCCAGGAAGCAGAGGTCATAGCTGTTATGTTCATTTGTATCATTATAAGCACCTAATAAATATTTGTTAGATGCATGAATGAATAAGCAAATTAATGAGTTACACGTAACTTTAGAAATTACCTATTCAAGAAGTCTTCAGACTTTTCCTAGACAGTATCCCCTTATTTGATAGTCACATGAATAAAGTGAGGGAAGGAGGACATTTGGATACTTAGAGTCTTAGCTAGGAATGTTATACCTCCATTTTGAAAAAAAAAATTATATTTTGAATTCTGTGAACAAAACAATTTGTGGAAGTTTGTTTTCTTTCTTGTTACACAAGTACCTACATGGTATCATTTATTTTGCCCCCTGGCCCACTGAGTCTAAAATATTTAATCCTGTCTGGTCCTTTACAAAAAATATTTCCCAGCTCTTGCAATATGTCACTGTCTGTTTTATGTGGGCGCACTTTCCCTTTCATGATTCCTGTAAATCATTTAGGGGTTTCTATTGTAAAAGTAATATATTTTCCTTATAAAATTCAAATTTACAAAAGGGTAAAAAATGATTGGTCTCTTTCCCCAGTGTTAACACTTAATGGTTTGTAATGTATCTTTGTCACGAATTTGCCACTTACTAGCTGTGAGGTCTTAGTTAACGTCTCTAACGCTCAATTTTCCATTTGTAAAACAGTGGTAATAACAGTTCCTACCCAACAGAATTGTTTTGTGGATAATTTGAGGTAATTTATGTGAATTGCTTACCACATTGCCTGGTGCACAGTTAATGCTTAATGATTTATAACTAATTTTAAATGTTTTCTCCTTTTTAACTTTATATATACACACAGGCTGTTTTTAAAAGAAAGAATATGATTTTTTAAAAACAATAAAGTTCCACAGATGATTCTAATGTATAACCACTTAAAAACAATTGAAGTAAGTCCTGGGAACTAGATAATTATAGAGAGGATTCATATTTGAGGGCTAGCTAGAAATTGCCTTCTATTTTACAGCCCAAACTTGGAAAAGGGGAAAGGTATTGGTATCTTTCAGTGAACCTGTAGAGTGGTATAAAATGCACATAAGTGAATGTTTATTTCTATTTTCCAGGTCTACAACTCGAACAAAGACAATCAGAATGAAGGAAGTGAGTACTGTGGTTGATAATTTTCTGTGGTTGGGGTTGGGATTGGGCTTTGAGAAGTTGCTACTCCAGAGAAGAGCCACCAGGAGGTGCTGTGGGCATGTTGGGTCTGGCCCATTCCCACCCAGTGCAGCCTGACAGGCTTCCACCCTGACACATTGGTTGACTCCAGGATATTCAGTGAGCCTGTCTGACAAGACTATAACAACACTTTGCATTATATAACCCTTTACACTATACAGAACATTTTCATGTACATTAGTTATCTCAGTTAATCCTAGGTCGTCTTAAAACCCTCCCTCCAATCATCACTTAAAAGTCACTTAAATCCAATCATACTCAGCTCCCAAAGAACCCTGCCTATGAGAAAGCCAGAATTGACTTTGCCTCCCACACTGTCTTGCTCAAAGGACTGGAGAGGCAATAACTATCTCAGTGGTCGTGTAGTGTTCTTTGTTGCCTCTGGAGAGGAGGAATGGAGATAGCCAGCTCTGTAATAATATTCCTCTTTGATGAGAGTGACCCTGGGCAGCCTCCGTAGAATATACAGGACATTCTCCCTGCTGCTGGCTCTGAGCACTCTGGTTAATTATGATTTCCAAGGGCACCTGCAGCTTTATAAAGACAAGGGGATTAAAACAAAACTGCTGCTGCTAGAGTGTTTGGCTGATTATCTCCTTGGTGCACAGGAGAAAAAAACACATTCCTTCCAGGTTGCTACAAGAGTACAAAAGAAATTCTGTCCCCTTGCCTCAAATTTGCTTTGTAAAATTTACTTGGGGAAATTTTTTTTTTTCCCCAAAGGTAGCCCTACCATGAATTCCAGTCATGTCAGAAAAAATCAGTAAAAACAGTATCTGCCCATGTGAACAAAAGGATGAGCTACTTTGCATGTGTGAAATCCATTATAGGACAGAGATTTTCACTCTTTCAAAAAAAAAAACAAAAAAAAAAACCCACAAAAACCCAACAAAACAAATTGTACCAGGAGTTTTTTGTTTGCTTTTTTAATCCTCACCTGAGAAATTTTTAAATTGATTTTAGAGAGGAAGGGAGTGGGGGGAAGGGAGAGAGAGAGAGAGAGAGAGAGAGAGAGAGAGAGAGAGAGAGAGAGAGGAGAGAGATTGATTGCCTCCTGTTCCCATATGCATTCCTACTGGGGATGGAACCTGCAACCTGGGTATGTGCCCTGACCAGGAATTGAACCGTAACTTTTCAGTGGATGGGACAATGCTCCAATGGACTGAGCCACACCAGCCAGGGCTTTCCCAGGAGTTTTACATGAGATATTAAGTAATTTGGAATGGTGGCTTTTGGTAGGATGAGACCTTTAGGACAGGAAACAATGTTTCTTTGTTTTATTTCCTTTTTCTCCTTAATAATTGAACAAGGAAAAAGTTTTTCAAGTAAATATTCAAGGAAACAAGTCATTTTTTCTTTCCTTCTTTATCAGGTGGGATTGTTTTACTATGTTTGAAATAAACTCTGGGTAACTTGGGCTAAAATAACAATAGCAAGAGCAATAGTAATAATCATGTAGGAATATGGAAGGCTGTAGGGTAACACAGTAAAGTAGGAAGAACTGAAGAACCGGGATCCATCTCTGGGGACCCAGGAACTAATGAGAAAGGGCCTCTTCAGTGGTATTTTCAGGATGATACAACTCTAAACTGTTTTTGGTTCTTGCCTCTTCTGAGAATTCAGATCCCCCAGGAAAGGCAGCATCAAGCTGGTCCTGCTTGGGTCCAGCCAGGGGAAAACAAGACACCTTGATTGACTGTTTCTGCATAAAATGGGAGCAGAGTTGTTTGCCAGAGGGAAATCAGGGAAACCACTAGGACAAGAGAGCCAAGTAACAAGCAAGCCAAAGTAACAGATGACCATACCATATCCCTGAGACATACTCCTTATAAGGACCCAAGAATTGAGGGGGGTGAGAAGCATAGAAATGGAAACCCTCAACCTGAAGTTTCCTTGTAACTATGGTCTTAAGAACTTGCTTCTCTCTGCTTTAGATAGATACTAATAGATTTGAAAGATGACCCTGATTCCATTGGTTAGCATTATCAGCTCATTCTACAATTGCAGTAATTTGCATTTTTACCCTACACCCACCCGTAGTGCTCCTTGCCCAGGGTCTGAATTCGGCAATTCTTTTTCTGTCTATACCACAATGAAAACTATTTTAAAGTTAAGAAGTCAATCTGATATAAATTTAAGAGTGAGGTATTGCTCTTTTTACCTTCAATAACCAAACTTCAAATGTCTAGCATTCTCTTTCTAAAAAATGTTTTGGTGGGAATTTGAATGCCAGCATTTTATCACAGACCCAGAATGGGCAGGTAGCAAAAGGAAATTTCTCTGAGACACTTCTGAAGTTGTTTTTGTTTTTCATTTTGAAATTCCTCTCAGGGCCTACAGCACCCATGGGTTATAAGACATGGCCATAAATAATGTCTGTCAACTGCTGGTATTTTCCAAATAGCCCAGTTGCCAGAGAGTGAATGGCAGCAGATAAATATATGTGCAGAGCCTTTATCCTCTCCTTTCTATTCTCTATTTTGATCTCAGGTATAGAGAGATTGAATTAAACATACTCCTCCGCTGGTGGCACATTATCATCACAGGGCCCTCCATTCATTTTCATTCTTTTCTCAATTCATATTCTTTTTCTCTCCTATAGGCTGCCATTCTAATGTGTTCTTTTAATCTGTATTCTCAGACAATGTGTATATATTTTTTATCTACCTGTGTTTTTAAGTGACACAAGTGGTTATATGTATTGATCAGTTTACTTTGCTCCCTCAGCATGGTCTTAGAAGCCATCATATTCCTCTGTCTGCTTCTATTAGGTCTAGTAATAATTAATGTCGTTTTCTAATACTTTTTTAAATCGAATTTATTTAAACAATACAACAAAATTAGTCAACAATATAGTTGCCGTTGTTTTCTACTACTTGTGCCCAACGCTCAGGAAGCATTTTAATCCCTCTGTTGTAAAATTCTTGTGATTTTGATGCAAAAAATTCGGTCAATGCATTTTTGAGGCATTCTTCATTATTAAATTTTTTTCCAAGAAGAAAGTTTTGCAAAGAACGAAACAAATGGTAATTGGAAGGGGCAATATCAGGAGAATATGCAGGTTGAGGGAGAACTTCCCATTCCAACTGGTGCAGTTTTTCAGCAGTGATTCTTGCAGTATGCGGTCGTGCGTTATCGTAGTGAAGAATTACGCCCTTCCGATTAATCAGCACAGGTTCTTTTTCTCTTAAAGCTTGGGCTAACCTTTCCAATTGGGCAATATACACTGCACTTGTAATGGTTTGGTTAGATGGTAAAAGTTCATAATGAAGAATTCCTTTAAAATTCCACCAAACACACAACATCACTTTTTTCGCATGCAAGTCAGGTTTTGGCGTGGGCTGCGGAGCCTCATTTTTGTCCAACCATTGAGGCCACCTTTTCAAATTAACATACAGCACCATTTTTCATCTCCGGTAACAATTTGCTCTAAAAACGGCAAACGGTTTTGACGAGAGAGGAGCGAGCTGCAAATTGTGACTCTTTGATTACGGTTGTTGTCGGTCAACTCATGAGGAACCTATTTTCCAAACTTTTGGACTTTGCCAAGTGCACGCAATTGATTGGAAATTGTTTTTTGTGAACAATTTAAAGTTGTCGCAAGCTCTTGTTGGGTAATTTGAGGATTTTGCACCAAAAGAGCTTGAAGAGCTTCTTGATCAAAATTGGACACATGGCCTCAACCACTCTTGTCATCTAACGAAAAATTTCCCTCGCGAAATTTCTCAAACCAACGCTGGCATTTTCTGGCGCTAACTGCATCTTGACCAAGAGCACTACAGATGTTTTTGGCAGCCTCACTTGCTTTTCTTCCTAATTGGAATTCGTAAAGCATGCAGTGCCGAATATGCTCTTCATCCGCCATCTTCTTAGCCCTAGTTTTGCAATAAAAACCAAACCAAACACAAACTTTTTCAAGCAAAACTTGTTAATTGCACTTCACACGTTCTGTAGATACCACGTGTTTGAAGGTTATGTCAATACAAGTCAATGCCAAGCAAGATTTTAAACAAATGTTAAAAAACGACATTAATTATTACTAGACCCGATAGATCCTGGCTTCTATCTGCTGCACCCTCCATGGTGTAGGACACTGTCATCTGTTTCTGCAGAGATGTCCTCCACCTCCTCATGCCTACAACTCCTCATCACTGCTAACGACACCAATATCTCTTACCTGTTTCCCTGTGTGGCAGTTCTTTGGGTTATATGCATGAGAATTTCTGGTCTGTTAAAGGGGTGCATAAACAGAGTTTTAGGGAGGACTCTCATGTCCTTCTCCAGAGCAGTTGGTTCACAGTCCCACCCACCCTCCTTGAGGATTTCTCCATTCCTGCCAGCTCTTGCCATTATTCAGCTACCTGAATAATGTTTTTTGTCAGTCTTAGAAAATGATAGTTCATTGTTTTAATTTATTTAGCTCATTTCTCTGATAACTAGTGAGCTTGAGCATCCCTGTATTTGCCTGTTTACTGGGTTTCCTCAACTGTTTTTTGCCTGGTTATGTTCTTTGCCCATTTTATATGGCAGGTACCAATTTTTCTTGTTGATTTGTGAAATTCTTTCTGTATTCTAGATATCAATCCCTTGGTAGGTGTAGACATTTTAAGCAGACAGAGGATTATGGATGGCTCCTAAGATATTTTAAATATTTCTTCCTATCTTATCATCTGTCTGTTAATATTATGTGTGATATCCTCCCTTGAGTATAAAGCCTTACTCTTTTAATATTCAAATTCATCTCCTTTTTTTTTTTTTTTGCATTCTGATTTATGATTTCCAAGTTGTGTTTTAAAGAAGGCCTTTCTGACCCATGTCACCAAGATGTGCACCTACATTTTCTTTTATTGGCTTCATGATTTTATCTTTCACATTTGAGCTTCTAATCTGATCTCTACCATCATATATGGTGTTTCATGAAT